CTAAATATAGATAATAATATAGATTAAAAATAGAATTAATTATAAATAAGATTAATTAATAAAATTACTTATTTATCCAATTTAGTAGTAATCAGCAATTACTGCACCACATTTACTGCATCACATGAATAAGTAATTGATTACAATATATATAAATTAAATAATCTGATTTTTTATAAGTTTTACTAAATTTTTATCATTATTATTAGAAAATTATAAAATTTTTTTTTATTCTTATTATCTTTATTATTATTAAAAAATTTTTATTACAAAAAATTTTTATTTTTAAATATACTTACTTATATATTGATCTTATTTATCTTATTAATATCAGAAAAATTAAAGATAAGAATTATATTATTAGGTAAAACTTTAATATTTGAGATATTTATCAAGATATTAGATAAAAATTTATTATTCTAACTTATCTTTTAAATTAGAAATATGAGATAATAAGATAGAGAAAATAATAAAAGGATATATATTTAATAAAATTTCTTTATTTATTTTAGCAGAATAAAAAATTTTTTTAATAAATAATAAATAAATAAAAAATCTAATATTTTAGTTATGATAAAAAAGTGACAGATCATGTGATTTTTAAGAGATAAATCAATTAAATCGCAAAATTAAATGTAATAATAATAGTTATTAATTAGAATTAAGATTAGAATTGGAATTATAATTAGGATTATATTTCACGTGACTTTATAATATTATAAAAATATCATTATAAATATTTAAAGCAAAATTTTACAAGAAATAAATATTTGTTTTGAATTTTTTTCCGTTACACATTGATCTTGCGATTTGATTGGTTTATATCTTCAAATATTAGTCCGAAAAAAGTCCCGTGAACGTGATTTTTAAAGATAGACCAATCAAATCGCAAGATCAATATGTAACGGATAAATTATTGTTTTGAAAAATAACTTGTATCTCGAAATTTTGCCCATGAAATTACTTTCTGTGTTCTAATAAAAAAATATTCCTTGCGAAATTTTACTATATAAGATAGGTACGCATGTTGCTGATATAATTTTCTATTCTGACTCTAGCCCTAATCCTATGGAAGATCAGGAAGAAACGTAAGAAGACCAAGGAAATAAAAATGACGGGGATGATTATGAAGAACTGGAGGGGTTCGTGTTTCTTTTTTTTATGTTTTTTTTGTTGCGCCAAAAACGCGCATGTCTTTATAATGTTGACAATCCGTTCGAAGTTTCTCAAAAGGAGTTTCGCGAAGATTGGTGGCCGCTCGTCTCCAATGTATGGGTTTGGTATAAACATTGGGAATGCGAAAACAACAACTCCTGGATCGTTTGTGCATGTCGTTTTACCAAGCATAACAATTCTAGCACAAGGAAAGGAGATGTTTCTATCGAGAAACGGCGGAGAACCAGTAAACGTGTTGCAAGGAAGTAAGAAAGAGTACCTGTAACGCTATTACACAGGCTCGAGATGTCATAGATCACTATTATTTTCATACATTAGAACATCCCTCACATTGAAGCGAAGAATTCTGGACCAACTTTATCGAACATTTTGGAGCATATGCAACAAATAACCTTCTCCCATTTACGATCTGTATTTCCTAGTGGTGGCCACTCTTTTATTGTGGATGTAGATGACGAGCTGGTAAAACAGCCTGACGAAAATGCTGATAAAAAGGAAGGTGGTGATGATGAAAAAGAGGCGATGATGATAAGGAAGATCAAGATGATCAGGGAAACGAAAGAAAGGCAAAGAGATATAGTATTGAACTCGCAATAATTCTCATTTTTGCCTTCAGAGCAAGACGCTTATGTTGAACCAACTCTTGAACATGTTTTCGATTAAAGAGATTTACCTAGATAAAATAGAGTTTCAAGAATTTCTGCACTGAGAAAAGTCATTTCGTTCTGCTTATAATAATCAGATGGTGATATCCATATCTTTACTTAAGCGGTCAGGGGAAAATGTCACGCAAACCCACGAAAATTTAGGAGTTTATAGTAAAAATGATGAAAGTTTTTCTTTTCTCTTTGTTGCGTCTCGGTCCTTCCCATAACTTGACAATACTTCAACAACCAACAAAGAACTCAAAAGATGCTTCAATCCTGCATTTCGGTCAATAAAGCAAATGATAAGTACTGGGGAGTTGAACTTTGACGCATTTGATGGGATTTTGAAACAAAGTGATTATGCTTATGCCTTGCAACAATTTTGATAATTCTATACTTTAGGTCCTTTAATTCTTTGAATGTATAAGCTTAATTTTGAATAATAATATGAACTTTCAATTTTTCTGCTTTGGTGATTAGACGTTAACGAAAGTGCAATGTGTAGGCTCTGATTTTTTGCATCTTCTGATATATCAAAGTCACGAGTAAAAAAATGCAATTGATTTCCAATTTGTAAACGTAAGATATTATGTCATAATGGAAAATTAACATTTTGAAGTTGAATTGCCAATTGATTTTTTTGAGCTAAGATTATTTATACACTTGCATCTAAATATTATATTCATCAATTTTACCAATATCTGTATCATGTAAAAGCTGTCCGACTACATGGATAGTCATCCACTTGAATCTCAGACTTGTCTTTATACCTCATATATTCAGGAATATGTTTATTCATTAATTATGAATAGGTAAGTTTATAACTACATGTATTATGTATAGTTTTCAACGTGAAGAGGGCATACAATGGCGATTAAATTTCGTTAAAAATCGCATATTTTAATAAATATTATAATAGGAAGTCGACGGAATAGATGTTGGCGGGGATATCACAGAGACAATAGGTAACTAATTAGAAATTTCAGCGATATTTAGTTAAAGAGAGTAAAAATCGATTACTCGAATATTAAAAAGCCAAAATTTGCTTCATCTCTTACAATGGTAAAATATAAGTATTACATAATGTTTTGCTACATGTGTATTTAACATATAAACTCTTTTCCTTGTAAAATACGAAATCGTGAACAATCGCGGAAATCCTTGTATCTCAGTGACAACTTATAATTGCATTGTGTTACGAAAATTAACTTTGGCCAAGAATTATAATGTCAGTCAAAAGTTATGAGCATTTTTAAGCTTGCAGGTAGCTTATTTTCGGATTTACAAGGTAATTAAAAATCTCAATACAATGAAAACAACCCCATAACAAAAATGATATTAAATTTATTTCCTCAATTTCATTTATAATCACAATCAAAAACTCCGCAAAATAATCAAGTTTTTAAATACTTATTTAGAAGTACCAATTATTTGTTTGTTCGAGAAAAAGCAATTTCAAATATTTCATCATATGTTCCCAAATTAGAAATTCGTTGATTTACACGTGGTTTGGTTGAATTAGGAGGGCGTAATTGCAAATATATTCGAGACAATGACATCTTTTGATAGTTTTAATATGATAATGATGATGAAACAACTCTATATATCTATATTTAGAAAAATTGGTATTATGTGTGGTGCAAATTCATAATATTGTGCTGTGCACGTTAATTATGAATTCAGCGAAATTTCTTCAAGAATAACAACAACAACAGCAACAACAACAAAATAATAATGTCTCAAACATCATTAAACCAAAATGAACAAGGATCTTTTCAACATGGCGACGATGCCAGCAAAGACGTGACAAACAAACATAAAGCTTACCTAAGATCTCCTGAAACGGAATCGCTTGAAGATTCAATTCACAACATTCAAAGTAGTAACACAGAAGAGCACTCACACCTGCAAACAATTAAAACCCTAATAAACCATCTTGTAGATGGTGAAGCTAATGAAGGAACCCGAATACGATTCAACAGGACAAGAACAAAAGGTGAAGGTATTTCCGAGCAACTGACAAAAGAAAAATTAGCGGCGCCATATGTAGAAGAGGAAAAACCAGAACGGCCGGAATTCTTTCGACATTATTCTAATGATGTTACCGATAGCTCAAACACGCCTTTGATTGCGGGTGGTAAAGGGTCTAATGATAATAATGATGTTAGCGGTGATCAAGAGTCCACTAATGTGACCCCTGCTAAACGCCATCTCCGTGAAAAGATTAAAAAGGCTATGGCTTTGTCGGCTGTCAATAAAGTTTTTGGTGCTGTTGGAGGCAGACAGCACTTGAGAAATGATAATGCGTGTATGAATCCTATTTTCCCGAGTCCACTTGCCGTTCCTTTCTTCCGGTTTAAACGAGATTCTAAAGGGCGTAGGGCGGTTGGTATCTTTTTATATAAATAATTTCAAACATATGCTGTTAATTGTTTTTAATTCAATGAAATTTTATTAACACAAAATCCTTTTAGCCACCAATTCTGTTGAGCATGCTAAAGGTAATTTATCATCCAAAGTTATTTTCTATATACGTGACAGATCTTACTCATCATGATTGCACATCAAATAGCTTGCTATCACCGACTCCGAATACGATCCATCTTCATATTTAAACTTCCGAAACACATTTCGCATAGAACTAGAATACGGTGATGCCAAATGGGTAATAAAAAGAACCGGCCTCGACTTTTCCGAACTCGCTCTAAAACTAATAAAATTGCGTGGTGATGTACTCGAACTCCCGACATTTCCTATTAACATCGCGAACTGGTTTCTGGCGAAAATCTTGCCAGGGCGTCCGGAAAATCGACATAGACGTCAATCCGAAGCGGCGCTTGAACGACGCAAGGAATTGGAGAAATATTTGTTAGCGTTGTTGAAAGCATTGAATTATCATGTGTGTTATGATTTGTATGAGTTCTTGGAGTTAAGCGTTATTTCGATTACGAAGGACATGGGATGGAAGGGGAAAGAAGGTTATATGAAGAACAAGGTGCAAAGATTTAGGACGCCGATTTGTTCGTTTAGTAATACGAGTGAACGGTGGGAGAGGGAATGGGTTATTGTCCGTGATTCGTATCCTTTTTTATTCGTATTTTTGTTCTCATTTATAAAATAATCATTTGAAAATAGATTTATTATACAGTTCCTTAGTAATTGCAAAACAACAATAAAACTGTATTCAGATACATTGCATTCTGTAGTAGCATTGACTCACCAACGCCCGCTGACGTCTTCCTCCTTGATCCCACATTCAAATACGAAAAAGTCACCACAAATATGTTCAAATTACACAAACACGTTAGACTAGAAAATTACGCGCGACGAATCGAAATAAAAGCTGATTCGCGCACCCTTGCTGAGTTCACTGAAAGTATCAATCGTCTAAGGGTTGCGTCTCCATGGTTGAAACAACACCAGTACGATTCGTATGCACCTATACGCGAAAACGCCAAAGTTAAGTGGTATGTCGATGGAAAGGATTATTTTTACGCAGTTTCGGAGGCGATCTTGGCTGCTAAATCGGAGATTTATATCGAGGATTGGTGGCTTAGTCCTGAATTGGTTTGTAGGCTGTATGGTTGAATGATGTTGTGGATATAGTTTTGATTAGAAGAAAAGTGAATCTTTATCTCCTCTTTTTTTTTTAATATAGTATTTACGTCGTCCAGCGGCACAGAATGAAGATTTTCGATTAGACAGGCTGCTCAAAAAAAAGGCAGAAGAAGGCGTAATGATTTATATTGTAGTATATAAAGAAGTTTCTCTAGCATTCTACATGGATTCATATCACACAAAATTTTCTTTGAAAAGTTTGCATCCGAATATTAAAGGTAGGTGGGTATGTTGGTTGGTTTATTTGAATAATTTTATGTTTTTAATATATATATTTTTTCTTTATATTTGATAAATAATTATTATGCTAAAAGTTCAAAGACATCCAGATCATGGACCTGAAGGGATAATGTTTTGGGCTGTAGGTTTTAATTTCTTCGATGCTCACCCTAATCAGCTTATTTCGCACTAAGATTACTAAAATGATAATAATTTTTTCATACTTTCAGCATCATGAGGTATGTTTTAGAACTGTTTACATTATTACAAATACCCAAATTGACATGCGCACAAACACGAACGATTCAGAAAATGGTGGTAGTCGATTGCCGAATAGCTTTTATAGGCGGCTTAGACTTATGTTTTGGACGATACGATACACACACTCACCAATTGGCTGACCATCATCCAGATAAAAACTTTCATATATGGCCTGGTCAAGATTATTCGAATCCCCGAATCAAAGATTTTGATAAAGGTATATTCCCAGTAGCTTGTCTCTATTATTAATTTTTAAAGGCAAAGTCGGATTTTATCACATATATATTAATAAATTTTTTATTCAAGTCGCCGAATGGGCACGAATTTTGGTGGATAAGTCTAAAGTTCCGCGTATGCCGTGGCATGATGTTTCTGTAGGAATGGTAAACTCTTAACAAAGATTTATTAAAATAGGTTTATTTGTGCATAGCTTATATAATTATTTTTCCAATTCTATTTTTTTTATTATTATTAACAGGTTGGAACACCAGCGCGAGATGTTGCGCGACACTTTGTCCAAAGATGGAACTTTATTAAGGATGAAAAAGCGTCTGGACGTGAAGATTTACCGTTTCTTACACCCAAAGGAGAATTTGTTAGTACACGTGACGAGAGTAGGTTTAAAGGTACTTGTAATGTACAACTTTTACGAAGCAGCGCTGATTGGAGCAGTGGGATTAAGTTGGAGGTGAGTTACTTTTCTTGATTGTTTTTTTTGTTATTTCTTTTTTGATGTTAACTGATGATTCATAAAAATTTTTTTAATGTGCTCAATATTATTAAATTTAAAAATTTTAAATTTTGTAGTTATCCATTTACAATGCTTATATAGACTTGATAAGAAAGTCGAAACATTTTATTTATATTGAGAATCAGTTCTTTGGTAAGTTTAATAATAAAGATACAATAACACTAATATAGCATAATGGAGACTTTTGTACATATGAGTAGGTTATTAAGAAAAGGTTTTTTATTGATGCTTGATGTATTTAGTTACTTCCACTGGAGAGTCTTCTAATAATCCTATACAAAATATTATCGGACAGGTAAAACTTTGGTTTTAGTTTTGATATTAGAGGTGGTAAATAATACACACAATATTAACAAGTTGGATTAATTTCTTCTAAAAAGGAAATCGTTACTCGTATAACAAAAGCCTATGCAAAAGGTGAAAAATTCAGAGTCATCGTGGTTATGCCTTTGTTGCCTGCTTTTGAAGCAGATTTAGCTTCTAAAGATGCTGGTACTATACGGTAAAATACCAAATATATAATATTTATTTTCTCGCTCTTTTACTTCTTTAATGTTTTTAATTGTTTTTTCATTGTAAATATATATATATAAAATATAGAATGGTAATGCACTGGCAATATGTGTCAATTTGCCGTGGTGGACATTCTATTCTAGATAAACTTAAAGCATTAAACATAAATCCCGAAGACTATATTTCGTTCTTCGCGTTAAGAAGCTATGATAAAATTAGGAATTTTCCTACCGAAGTTGACAACAACAAGAGACAATCTAGTGATTCCAACTCTCAAAAAGAAGCATCCCTAAAACAAAAAGGCAAAGAGATTGAAGAAAACGAAGGTTCATCAAGCTCGTTTTTTGGAAACCAAGATATTTTCGCATGTGATTCCATTGCTGCGAGAGCTTTAGAGGTATTGTCCACAGAGAACACGTCGAATCACCAACAACAAACGAAGAAAGATTCAAATTCAGTTCAGAAAGAAGATTCGTTCTCGGATGAACAAGCATATGGACACGAAAAATTTGAAGGAGTTGAGCCGCCATGGGCTTCGGGACATCAAGATGTTAATAAAGGTTATGTGACCGAGGAATTATATATTCATACTAAAGTGATGATTGTTGATGATCGTTATGTTATATGTGGGTCTGGTATGTTGACATAAGTTATTATTAACTTTTTTTTTCGCTTTTAATGGATTAACTGAAGTTTTGAAATTTTTATTTAGCAAATTTGAATGATAGATCACAGCTTGGTAATCGTGATTCAGAAGTTGCAATTTGGGTTGAAGATACATTAACGGTCTCAACTCGAATGAATGGAGAAAATGTAACTTTTATCATATCATGCAATATTATTATGTCTTTTTTACGCTTGCTAAATATCCTTTTCTCATACTGAAGTATCAAGCATCAAAATTCGCCTACACCTTACGCTGCTCCTTATTTAAAGAGCACCTCGGTCTAATCCCACCACAAGATCATCACACAGTCACAAAAAGCTCATTACCACCCATCAATCCCAAAGATCTGTATAATTTCCACACAAGAGAACATTCAACGACAGATGTGATCGATGAGTCTTCAGGTAGCAAGTCTTCAAAGCATCCCACAAAAGAAGATTTGATAGTGATGGATCCATTGTCTGATGAATTCTATGATTACTGGGTAAAAACTGCTCGCACTAATACAGAAGCTTTTCGTGCAGTGTTTCGATGTGTTCCTGATGACAATGGTATTTTTTGTTCTTTGCGTTTGTTTATATGTCTTTTTTTTTGTTTAAATTGATAACTGATTTTTCTTGTCTGATAAACCATATTGAATAGTAACTGATTGGACAGAATACAAAAACTTTGTTCCTGATGGAACCAAAGTTCCGACGGGACACGTTGCCAACGCGCTACAATCTCCTGAGGAGATACAACAGAAATTGGATAAAATTCGTGGACATTTGGTTGAGTTCCCATTACATTTCTTGGAAAAAGAGAATTTGATGGGAAGTGTGATTTCTAATGCGGTTACACCTGCTGAAATTTTTATATGATTTTTTGATTTAAGTGATAATGAGGTGCAACTGTTATTTTCAATTTGACTTTTGTAGATTTATTTAATTTTTTGTACTATAATTAATAATTTTTAATCAATTTTTTTTGTGTTTATTAAAATATTTGTATAATATTTCATATAACAAGATAATTTTCAAAATTTGATTGAGCATGAGATTAAATGAGTTAATAAACATGCATTTTACAAATTCATTTTAATGGATTTATAATATGAAAGTAAATTTCGTAGTTCTCAATAATAAAAAATAGATTACTAATAATCTGGAAAAAATTCGATTTACAACTATAACTGTAGTTGCAATTGAATTCCCACAGCCGTCACACGAGTGTTGGTTCAATGGCTCCATGAATATAATGGAACGTTACAGTGGAAAAACTGCCACGATAGAACGACAAATGATACATAAACATTGGACGATTTGGAAGTAGAACTTATATTACGCCAACAGATGCAACGTTATGCAAAATACTCTTCGAACATCAATTTTACTTTATATAGCACATCAAAAGTAACGTATGTGCATCTCAAATTTTTTCTCTTATCATTTTTACGAACAATCACCATCATCACTTTTGATTACAATCACCTATCGTTATGTAACCTATCACTCGAAATTGTTATCGACAGATGCCAGCATTTTTTTATTCTTTAAAGTCAATTGATCACGTAGGAACACACAATGATAATATATGTGTACTAGATTTTGTGTTCGTTGGAGATGTGTGTAAGAGTGAAGGTAAAAAAAATAAAATAAAAAAATTATAATACATAATGTAACAGAAAATTTAACAACTTTTTTCTTGGTAAGGCCCGGGAAAAGAATATGAAAAAGGGGATGTTATTTATAGTGCAGTGTAATATAATAAGAGGGTATAGGAAAATGGAAATTAAAAAAAAATATATATAAGAAAGAGAAAAAAATGAAGAAAAGAACAAGAACAGAGAAAAAAAATGAAAAACTGTCTCAGGCGACTCGCGCCTCGAATGATTATGTAATTGATGACGACACGCGATTGTAACATAAATGGCAGAAATAAATACCAAGTATTTCGTAAAACAAATGAAGAATATTTTAAGCAAAACAAAAAAAAGAGATTTGTTGGGCAGCAAAGAAAAAAGTGAAATTATATAAAGAATTATTACTTTTTGAAGAAAGTTTGAGCCAAAATTTCAAACATAGGATCAATCTTATTGGTGGTGGGAATCAGACGATTTAAAACAAAAGACTCATATTCGAAAAAGATTAGAGTAATTGGTGTTTTTATAATTTTTCCAAATGATATTTTTTGATTATTTTGTATGTTTGTTTGTTTGTGCTTTGAAAATCTGCGAAAAAGGAAATTTAAAACCCCGGTTTTAGATTTTGAGAAGAAAAAATTGCATAGGTAAAAAAAACTTGCCAACCAGATTACTCGCTTATTATACTTAAACAAACAAAAAAGAAATATCCACCATTATTTTCTTTTTTGGTTGTTTATAAAGATAAAAAAAATTCTTAAAAAAAAAGTGCGTCTCATTTAAATAGACGCAATTTGTTCTCGTTTTTACTTGTAAAATTAAATATTAAGGTGCTCAAACTTTCATATTTTTCTGGGTATCGATGGATTTTGCGAATATTGATTGAATATTAAACTCGCCAATTTCCATTATTCGCAATAAAACTTGCACATTTACAACATCTTTTTGCATCCGGTATATCGCCGCCATTCTTTTGCTTTTTAAACATTGCGTTAAATTCTGATTTCAACGGAATGTATCTACAGTCTAAATTCGGGCAAACACATTTTGTCTTTTTGTACCTCAATCCACAACTATTACATAAGAAAAGATCAGGTCGCCAACCAGGTCTCCAACAAGGTGTACTTTTAGTTCTACAACTAGCACAAACTTTTGTTCTATGATTTGTATCTTTACGTTCTCTTGCAGTTGTGGTGTTGATGATAGTAGTGGTGATAGTGGCAGCAGAATTAGTATTAATTGCTAGGGAATTATTATTGGTCTTGACGATATTTTTGCTATTATTATATGATGGCGTTGCTGGTGTAATTGTAATTCCAAGACCAGAACCGGTTCCATATTTGATTTGTTTAGAATTCCGTGAGAAATCGTCTTCATCATCTCCGTAATCAGCATCAAGATCACTTAAATCTGAAGTGGGCATAGATGACAAGGATGAAAGTGATGTTGAGGTTCGTCGCTTCTCGGCAATATAATAAAATGAAGTATTTGCTGCATTACTGTTATTTGCATCAAAATGTCCAGTAGATGGTGATGAGAAATTAATAGTAGTAGTGCTAGCGCGAGAACTGTTATTAGTAGTGGCACCATTAGATGTGTGCGGATTACGACCAGAGGATCGAGAAAGGAATTTATTGATGGGCATCTTAGTGGATGATTGAGACGATGCTGATGAATTATGACGAGGAACTTTTAATAAATTTTCCTGGTGGATTTGATGAGCCTCACTATTCGAAAAGGATTGGTTCGTAGAAATAGCCACATCAAAAAGTAAATCCAATCCCGTATTAAAATTAAATTGATCTTCCTTTTTATTCTTTGCTCGAGTAATAGGTCTTGATCTCAATTTCGATCTTCTCGATTGGTTAATCGAGCGTACTACATCAGGCAACAACAGGGGTCGATGAATAATAGTCGCTGATGGAGTAGGAATTGCTTTTGTTGAATAATAATCAAGAGTTGATGACTGGTTATCAACGTCATCGTTATCATTGCTATTATTGAATGGATCTTCGGTTACAGTAATCGCGGGCGTATTTTGTAGAGACGAAGATGAAGACGACGGAGACGATTTATTGTCGGAAAAAACAACTGGGAATCTAAATATCATCCCAGGGTCTTTTTGATTTTCATCTTGATCCGGTGATCTATAAGGAGTTCCTTTTCGTTTTCTTTTTGATGGCGTGGACAATGATGATGCGGTGTTGTTTTCCGAACAAGAAATGTTATCGAATGAGGAATAAGATGATGAAGTATCATTATCACAGGATGATGAAGATGATGAATCCATGTTATGTTCCTTCATAATCATCGGAATAATTTTTGATAACATCGAATCATCCGATATCAAATAACGAGATCTAAATTTACGTGATGATGACGCGTTACTCTGTCTATTATTCATGTCGTTTGTAAGACTCGGATTGATGGTGATGATGTTGTTGTTGCTGTTGGAATTTGTGATTATTGGACTTGCTGGTTCAGATGAATAGGTCTCAGTCATCCCGTTTGTGGATGAGGGAGAATCAGAGTAGAAATGCTCATCGTTCTTTTTCGAGAAAGGCGGAAAGAATGAATTTTTCGCGCACAAATTATCCTCGCATACCGATGGTGGCGTTGGTATCCCAAAATTGGATGATGCAAAAATACTCATTTCTCGGGAGCACGTGATTTAATATCGCGTTTTTCTTGTAAAGGATTCTCTTTACCGCCTAATCGGATGTCCCAAGAATTAATTTTTTTATTAGTATTGAATTTGGATTAAATGATCAAATTTTCGTTGCGATTTAATTTTATAGATGATCTATATTTGAACGGAGTAATCGCGTCATTTTTTACTGTCTGATTGTTAAATTAATTGGGTGAATCTGATCTAACCCTTTTAGAAATCAAATCATGCTCGCCTGATCGGGTCAAACAATAAATAAAGAAACCAAAAAAGATCGAATGATTGAGTTCGTGAGAATAAAATAAGATGTAATTACAACGGTGGTGTAGATTGATGGGATGATGTTTTGAACAAGGAAAATCAGGGAGGAATAAACAAGAATTGATTGTCTCCTTTCAATTTTTTCAGGGAACTTACACTCACTGGAAAGGATAAAAGCGAGAGAGATGACTTAACTTACCTTTGAGATTAGGAATTCGAATTATTTATTATTATCAAACGTGAGAAGAATGAAAAGAAGTGAATTTTGTTTGTTTTTTTTTTTTTTTTTTTGTTTAAAAAAATATTCGGTATCGTTTTATTATGCTTTAGTGTTGTCTAATAATGGATGTAGGTGATTGATAGATAGATAATAAAATGTGATTGATTTTTTTATTTTCGATTTTTGTGTAGTTTCGCAGGTTATTCTAAAAAAAAAAACCCCCCGTAAAACGAAAGTAAAAGATTATTAATATTTTACGTTGTCGTTTCTAATTCTAAAGAGAATGAAAGTCTATAAAGTAGTATGATTAAGAAGATGATGATGATTATTATTATTGTAATGAAGATTAAAAATTAAAGGTGATTTATGGAAGAAAAAGATAATAATAAATAAATGATGGAGAGAGAATCGAGTTAAACCAAATGGATGATGGGTGAGTGAATATAAAGTATGTGCGTGTGTGTTGTGAGGCCATAAACAACACAAGACAAGAGTGAGTTAAATTATTTGATCGAGGTTGAAAACCCACTAAATATCTTTTGTATGTAATTAATTATGGTTAGTGTAATGTAAATAAAGTTGTGTCGATGATTTTTAGTATATATTTATTAACGTTAGATTTGTATAGTTGGTATTGATTTGAAAATAACAAATGAATTTTACGGTGTTGTTTCGTGTTGATTCATGATATATTGCTGGTTTTTGGTCTCTAGGTTTTGATCTGAAATTTTTTTTGATGGAAGAGAAAAATTGGGTAAAAAAAAATTTAGAGGTGAGAGCGAAGGGAAAAAATAAGAAAATAGAACGTAAAATCTGAATGATGATGATGATGATGAATGATGAATGTTTGTGTATGCGTGCAAAAAAATAATAGAGTTTAGTTTGGTGATAAAAGTCGTAGAATAAATAGTTTCGAGTTTGGGTAACTAAAAACTAAATATTTTCTCAACCGTTAAAAATTGACTTAACGATAGATGGTTAGTGTATGTGATTAAGGTGATGGAATTGGTTTGTGATACCTTCACGGAAGAGAGCACAGGGCACAAATATTTATCTATTTGCATATAAATAATGGCACAAATTAATTCAGTATACAGATAATTCCATATTAATTCCATTCTCACGTGACTTTGCAATTCTTCGTTTTTCAAGTTAACCATCAAGATCAAAAGATCTCGGCAACCTTATTGATCAGCATTTATAATGGAAATAAATAAAATAATTCCCATTCTCATTCTACCTTTTCGGATTTAAATAACATGTGCAAAATATTTCGTGGGAATTCGATTATGCATAAACAAACATCAAACATCCATATTGGCTTGATAATGAGACAACATCTCAAAAAGTTGTTATTTCCCCATCACCAAACATATACAAAAATTGTATCATCTGCACATCGATTTTACGCGTCTTCAACAAATTTATTATCACATGATGCAAGTGAAAAGACGACGACTCAAAAAAAACCTCCTAACGTCCCAGCTCCTTTTCTAGTGTTCAATCGTGACGTGAAAACCCGTCAGCGTAGTCGTGCAGCCATTGATAAAGAAACCAGTCGACAGGTTGATTATTTAAAGGATGAGGTGGCACAACGAATAGTTGACCGAATTCTGGTGAGATTTAATTCAACTTAATGGATCGATTGATTGGTGTATGAAAATCAAGAAACCGAAGTTTTATTTAAACCGAAAGATTACGCTTATTATTGCTATGATTTCTTTATTAATCGAATAAAAGGATGTAAAACGAGATTTCTCTACGATTGTTGATTTGGGGAGTGGGTGTGGACATATCGCGAAATTCTTGGACGAAGACATTTGTAAACGATTGATTATGTGTGACACGTCAGGTTTGATTTTCTTTTTAATCTACTTTTTTTACATCTATATATACCATTTATATATTAACTTCATGCTTTTTAGAAACGGCTTTAAATAGGCACACGGATCAAGAATACGAAGGTAGAAATTTAACATGTGATTTGAGATTCCGCGTGTAACCAAGATTCATATTAATATGTATGTACAAAATGTAAGTTGAGATTGAACGCAAAGTGGTCGACGAAGAGTGGCTACCTTTCGAGGAGAATTCTTTAGAGGCTGTTGTTAGTAATCTTTCACTTCATTGGGTGAATGATTTGCCAGGTAATCCATATTTACTCATGTATACCCGGTGATGTTCTTGGAAGCTTCCATCATTCCCAATAGACCTTCCGATTCCCGTGTAAAAATATCCAATAACAATGTCGAATAGTCCAAAAAATTTTGATTGGAAGCTTCCCAGAGCATCGCAGTGTTATACATACATACATACATAGATAGATGATTTGATTCAATAATTTAAGACCAAATATCATATATTATTACAGGCACATTCATACAGATCCGTCGCTCCTTAAAGCCAGATGGCGTATTTATTGCTGCGTTGTTCGGTGGTGATACATTATTTGAATTAAGGCAAGACATTATTATCATAAAACAAATTCAATCCCCTTTAATCCTTTAATACGATATTCCTTTTACAACACAGAACGGCACTACAACTTGCAGAATTGGAACGTGAAGGGGGCATTTCACCGCGTGTATCACCGATGACAGGTATTACGATTGATAAAGTTTAGACGATGGCGATGGTATAGTCAAACTTTGAATGTGCACTAATTTAACTTTTTCGACAGATGTGAGGGACTTGGGTAGCTTATTGTCACGAGCAGGCTTCACCCTCACAACTGTCGACATCGACGAGATTGTCGTTAATTATCCGAGTATGTTCGAATTGATGCTGGATTTACGCGCCATGGGTGAAAGCAATGCTGTTATAAATAGGTATTTATTGATCATTACTGTGATGATCCAAAATAAATATTTCAAAAACGATTTTGTGTGTTCTCTAGACGCTTATTCTTAAAGAGAGATACAATGATAGCAAGTGCTGCAATATACAAAGGTAAGTCGACATGCTCTCTGATAATGTTTATTCTTCCATTTTTCTGACGTACGCGTACAATGCACGTTTAGAATTGTATGGGAATCCGGAAGGCACAATTCCAGCCACTTTTCAGGTATGTTACGAATCTAACTTCATATTATATATATCACGATATTAAATTTCGGTTTGTTATTTTCTAATGGACATCATTAATTATTGTAGATAATGTATGTGGTAAGTAAAACTAAAATACCCGTATATTCGAGAAGATATTATATATTATTCAAGTTTGACGATCATATTCTTTTTGTTCTGCAAAGATCGGTTGGAAACCAGACATCTCGCAACCGAAACCCAAACCTCGTGGGTCTGCAGAAGTTTCTTTAAAAGAAGCATTAGAAAAAAACCAAAAATAATGCAAAATTGAGAAACAAGGGAGGTGAATAAATCACATCACGTCACTATACACACACACACACACATATATATATAAAATTAATTAAATAATATACAGAGGTTAGAAATCATCTTAAATAGATCGTCGCACTATTCTTCCACGATGATTAAAAGTCATAAAAGAAGGTCGTGCATCAATTTTATCAATAGTCCTAAAAATCCAAAATTAAATTTGAATCAACCACCCAAATCTATCAAGAAAAATGTAAAGAATAAGATATATACTGTTTAGCCATCTCCGTTTTCATCAATATCTCTTTCAACGGGTTCGCCACCAGTACAATGCCCAACGAGAAAACTGCTACTGAAACTAATGTCTCTATTGTTATCTTTGGGCGCGGCGAGAGGATATCTTAATTAATTTATTACATGTCCAATGTTCTTAACATCATAAGTAAATCACCACTTACATCAATGGGCAGATCCCGTTCTACTTTCTCGACTGCTTTTAAATAAGAGAGATCTAGAAATTGCAAGACCAAGCAGTCAAAAATTTACTTTTTGACGATTTAAATTTTAAATAAAATAGATTTTTGCTTTAGAATAATACGCACGTTCATAGGTAGAATAGGAGGCATGGATAAATAGTAAGAAACCTAAGAGACATAAAATGCGGCCTGTGGTATTCGACATTTTTCAAAACACGTCTTGTTTCTGTAAATTCTATTTTTGGTGGATCATAAATAAAAAATAAAATATAAATAGGGAAAAACCATATTCGGTAATTTTATGATAATGTCAAATCAACACACATTCCAAGCATTCGAGAGTTACGATTTTGACAGTGACCCAAACTTTCAGGTAAGTTGATGACAGCAACTGTGTCGTTTTATCACATTTCTAACGTGCATTGTTTTCTTTTTATGAAAAAATATAAGGCAGGGTTACCAGCAATTCATAGTCTCACGATTTCCAAATCGGCAAAAGAAGCAAACCAGATACTTGAGAAGGCTAAATGCTTTTATTATTCAAAGTATTATTAAACAAAACTTTTTTAAATGATATTTCAATATTTATGTAATAATAATAATAATAATAATGCTATCTTAATGATTGTTTCATAAAAAAAATGGCACGTTTGCTTGTATATCATCGTTTTCAATTTCTTTGTTTTTGTATATATGTTTTAATAAAGTATTTTGCACTTTATTTAGTTTGTAAATCTATATAAAATTTCAATGATTAATGCGACAAAGAGCTGTGGAAAATATTGACTACGATTCGTACATCCTTTGGAAGAACTCGCAAACATCATCATCGCCTACCAAAAAAAATAATCTCGACGGTGATAATGGAAGAGGAAAAGAAAAAATGAAATTGGCGCCAATACCCACAACAAACTCATCTTCATCAACAAAAGCGAAAGGCACATTAACAAATGCCGAGGACAGTATGCCTAGTGAGAACAAAGACCAAGAGGGGCTGGATGCTGAGACTGGTACAGGTAATTTCTTGCCACACCCGCTATCAAGATTTATGGGATCTATGCGTGTTACTGAATAAAATTTGATGATTTAAAAGGATCTTTTTCTTCGGATGATACCGTTAAGGACACAGCAAAATATCCTCGTTCATTTCAAGAAATATGTGAAATGATTGCGAATGGTACTCCAATACCAGGTAATAATTATTAAATTATCGATAATATTAATCAATGATATCAAACCTTTAATCAATGATATCAAACCTATTTTTCCTCCTCCTTTTTCTTCTCTTTCTTATTATAATAATAATAATAATAATAATAATAATTAGTGAAGCATATACCAAATGAGATAAACAAAGAATCGCCAAAAGAAGCTCAATTTAAGCCACGACCAAAGCCTTGGGAAAAGAAAAAAATAATAACGAATGATTGATGCTCCAAATCCAAAACTACCAATGAAAAATAGACGGGATTTTATTTGGTGTATTCTTGTAGAAATATCCTCCCTTTCCTAAGTGATTCTGTAGATAAATTATTAAAAGATTCCTTTAAATTGTAATTTTCTTTATTCAACAATAAATAAAATTTTTTTGATAAACCTCTGTGCAGAATAACGTATAAAGAAAGGCCACATTAAATAATTATGATGGTTATTATAGTTGCACACTAAATTTAGACAGTTTCCATCTACCCACAATAATTTTGATCTTGAGCATTTCGCCTACACCCTAATTACTTTTCCATGGGAATGCGCACAAGTACGGGAATAGTCGCTCCTAATTGTTGCTCCTGTTGATTTTGTGGTGTCTCTCGTACGCTTGAAGCAAAATAATCATGTTCCGGTTGTTGTTGTTGTTGTTGTTGCTGTTTTTCGCTTTTGTTTGTTTCTGAATAAATTGGTGTCATATTTATGTATTAATTGATCCCTATGAAATCAACCACGAATAGTGTATATAATTACCGGCAATAGAAACAGCTCGAAACACCGCTTGCCAATTATGCAACACATTGGCAACAACTAAAAAAAAAAAGGTTAATAATCTTGGTTCGTGGATCACCGTACTAATAATATTTTAAGTATACCTTGACATCCCACATTCAACTCATCAAGTTTTTCCGCAAGCACATTAAAATAGCTTAAAAGTTGCGCAGACGTCTCTTTTACCAATAATAAATTATCAAACTCGAGTTGTTTCTCGTGGAGTTTGTTTAGGAGGTATGGTGGTACATTGAGGTGTTGTTGTTGTTGTTGAGCAGGTACATTGAGTTGAGCACTATTATTATTGTTAGCGTTAAAGAAGGAAAGTTGCTGTTGTTGTAGAACATTGTTATTATTGCTATGGATAGTATTGAAGATGGGAAGTTGTTGCTGTGGTAACGGTGGTAATGGTGGCAATTGTGCTGTATTATTAGGAACGAGAAAAGGATTGCTATTGTCCTGATAATTGAAATTTGCGGATGCCATTTTAAGTTTGACGCGAGATATTCTATTTAGATATACGTAAACGCGTCTTGATTTACAATTTCTAAATTATTACGTCACAAAAAATCTTGGAACTATTATCAAGTGATAGTGATGTTCTTTTGAGAGCATTGAATTTCAACACTACTACAAAGAATACTGGTAATCGGAACACGCACCCCGAGCATTAACAATGAAATAGTAACTTTTATTAAAGAATAAATGCCTGTGACGACTCTATATACAAGATGAAGTATGTTCTAATAACGTCCTTGTAAAAAATTCAATCTTTGCTCTGATAAGATTCAGAATCCATAGAGTTCGGAGCTTGTTAATTATCATTTCAACATCCCGCGAGTAAATTTGTCTGGTCCCGTGACGTCGATTCTGGCTGCAGAAATTCACGTGATTGGAATAGAAGTACAACATATTGTAATATGAAAACGTTACTGGATTAAAGTCAAAAAAATCGGTAGGATGTTAATAAAATTAAGCATATTATCTATATAGAATAAAAATTAGGAAAAGAAATATTAATTCAAATATAATATCGAATCGAAATAATAAAGATAGTTTAACGTTAAGAGAAAAATGTGCAAGAACTCATTTTAGCATTGACAAATTTCCATGAGTATTCTTGAAACATTATTTTGAGTTTGATTTGATAATGAAGTGAACCTGGCTATTGAATATATCTTTATAATAATTTGCTGCGATTCTGGCAATGGTTGGAGTTGCCGTTGATGCTTCATTTGTTGGTATAAGTGAATTTTGGATTTTTTAAGGGAGAGTTCTAACTGATAAGAATGGGTAGATGCGTGTACAAACTATATAGCGATAGTCGAGTTTTTTCTAGAAAGTAATGTCCAAATTCAAAGCAATATTATAAGTTTATAAAATTTATACTATTCTTATGGTTTGAAGGTTTGAAAAAATCCGGAAATATTGTTATGCGTGAAATATCTAATCTTTTAATAAAAAACGGTGTATGCCACCAATCTTTAAGGTCGGATTAAAAAAATCCCTCATTTACCCGGCGTTCTTTAGTGCATCCATTCTATCAGGCCATTTCCTCCTTAATCAGGATGGGCTTAACAGCACGATGCGTCTTTATCCGATTGCATTACCAATATCATTAATCCCATGAATATTACCGCATGGGTCGTGAACTACATCGTGAGATGCAGAAGTTCATTCAACTGTAGGAAAGTCAGCGTGGTTGCATATATGGTTCAAAATCATGGCTTCCGATTTAAGAAGTGGACGAAAAAAACTCACATTTTTATTAACTATAACGTGAAGTAAAGAATGAAACAATTTATTTCTGCATGATAATATAAATGCATGCAGCTGGAACGCAATTAAGTAAAATAGTGGTGAAATCGAGAGTAAGATGAAAAGTGTCATAGTATATCGATATATGATAAATTTTCATCATGTTCTATACTAAATGGTAGCTGTATGTGGAAGCAAGTCTAACGAAAAATGTAAATGTAGGACCAAAATGGAATTTTAATAATATGTCTAAATAGGAAAATTTGATTTAACATGTCGACGTTTATGAAAACCGAGTGGAATGGAAACGGAATCGCGAATTTTTATGGAAATAAATATTAAACGAGTCTAGCGAATAGGAAAATTAATTGCCGAATCGAAAAGAACAGAGCGGGACAAGAACAGAAACATCTAAACTAAGCGCTTATTTTAAAGAGAATAGGTTTCTAGGAGTATTCTTTGGGTTTGATTTTGAGTTGGGTTTTGATTTTGATTTCGAGCTTGATCTTGATCTTGATGTTGATGTTGATTCGAGAACGTATTGAAAGTATCATCAGTCCCATATATAATGATTTGCACCATATTTGCGTGTAATGGTTGAGGACGCTGGAGCGCATTTTGTTGTTGATGATTCATTTTTGTTGATAAATTTTTATTGTCTGAGCGACAGAGCAGTCAGATATCGCAAATTGCTTCCTTTTTATAATAGCGAAAACAAATTCGTTTGAATCATGAGAATTCGTAATATGCATATGTAAAACCTCCTTTTTTTGCGAAAACTATAATAATATATTATACAAAAGGAAAATCTTTAAAAACGCTTCGAATAATATGCATGACGATGCATATAGAATATATGCATATATTCTATACCGATACGCCATTATTTTTTTTTCGTGTAGTATATATAGCGATGTATTTCGACAATTTCTCACGAAATATCAACCATTGGTTAGAAAACAATAAATGAAACACTATTTTTAGTTAGTTATTAATTCTAATTATTTTTTTTGACGAGAGATCGTATAAGTAACACCTATTGTTTTCATATTCCGCTATGTAATACAAAATTAATAAATTTCAGTGCATCGATCCGGTCAAAGCGCTACTATAAAATTCAAAAAGTGCAAGCGTTTCTACCTACAACGGGATTTTTCGCAGTCATCTTGCCTTTTTATATAAGAATTCTCTCTTTATAACGAAATAAACTCATTTGAATTGTAAAGAAACAATTGATACTACATGTATATGGCACATTAACGTTTAAATATTTCGATAAATATACGCATATATACGCATGCCATGCATAAACCGCCATATGGTATTACAATATTATAAGCATTGTCTTAATACAATTGGTTAGAAACAAAAAGGAAATCCTATTTTTAGTAGCTTCTTTATAAGTTTCCAGTTTAAACGGTTCATAGAATAAAGCTTTGTACTGTACTGTATGAATTTTTTTGTTGAAGTATTATAACAGTTTTATAAAAATAATCACATGATTTTTCCAGTTGTACAATTTTATTCATTACCAATCA